ACCACCACCAGCACCACCACCACCACCACCATCACCACCACCACCACCACCACCACCACCACCACCACCACCACCACCACCACCACCACCACCACCACAACCACGCACACACGCACGCACGCACGCACATGCACCACCACCCACTATGCACGCGCGCGCGGAGCCACAGGTCCGCTACGACACGCGTCCGCGGATAGAGAAAATCAGCGCCATGGTAAGGGATGGGAGGGAGGGGTAGGACGTCAGATATGACGCGAGCGCACCTAGCTTGTCCTCCACCCCCTCCTCCTCCTCCTCCTCCTCCTCCTCCTCCTCCTCCTCCTCCTCTTCATCCTCCTCCTCCTCCTCCTCCTCCTCCTCCTCTCCTCCTTCACCTTCTCCTCCTCCTCCTCATCCTCCTCATCCTACGTCTCCTCCACCGCCTTCTCTTCCTCCTCTCGTCCTCCTCCCTCGCCCCTCCTCCCCTCCTCCTCTCCTCTTCCTCCTCATCTCCCTCCCCCCCCCTCCTCTCGTCCTCCTCGTCCTTCTCATGTTCCATCTCTTCCTACCCCCTCCTCCTCCTCCTCCTACCTCCCCCTCCTCCCTCCTCGTGTCCCCCTCGTCCTCCTCCCCTCCTCCCTCCTCCTCCTCCTCCTCCTCCTCCTCACTCCTCTCCTCCTCCTCCTCCTCCTCCTCCCCTCCTCCCCTCATACCACCCCTCCTCCTCCACCTCTCCTCCTCCTCCGTCTTCTCCTCCTCTCCTCCTCCTCCTCCTCCTCCTCCTCCTCCTCCTCCTCCTCCTTCCTCCTACCGCCTCCTCCCCCTCCTCCTCCTCCCCTCCTCCTCCTCCTCCTCCTCCCCTCCTCCCCTCATCCCCTCCCACTCCTCCCCTTCCTCCTCCTCCCTCCTCTCCTCCTCCTCCTCCTCCTCCTCCTCCTCCTCCTCCTCCTCCGCCTCCTACGTCTCCTCACCTCCGCCCTCCGCTTCCTCCTCCTCCCATCCTCGCCCTCCTCCGCCTCCTCCTCGCATCCACCTCCTCCTCCTCCTCCTCCTCCTCCTCCTCCTCTCCTCCTCCTTTCCATGTTATGGGATCTCGTCCTGGAACTCTTGTTCTGTCGGCATGCTGTGTGACTTGCGGGGTGGCTGGAGAGCCAGACATGGTCGCGTCGAACAAAATATCAGGACGGGAAGTAATTGGCCTATTTCGGCCTCGGGAGGTCCCTCGCCGGGCCTCGGGACCGTCCAGAAACGGCTCAGGATGAACAAGCTGGTCCCAGGGAAAGGGCCTGGATTTCCAGGACCCCGTATCGAAAACATCAGGACGTCGCATGTCTGGTGAGGGCCATGTGTCAGGGAACTTCTCCATCGCCGAAGGAGAACAACACGGCATAAACACAAGCTGTTGGCGCTCTGTTCGGATCTCTTGGATCTGCGCTTGAGCGCCCTGGCGGCGCCTCCAGCACCGCCCCTGGTACGCTCTGCGCGCCAGAGAGGGGAGTCCAGCTCTGATCCAAGAAATACTCGCTGACCGCCAAAGGTTTACGTTTATGCCGTTTTTTGTTCCTCTACATCGAGCTACAGGGATTGGGTCCCTGCTGGCTCCAAAAGGGGCCCTAAAGAGTCCATTTAGGCATCTCGGGCAGAGCAGTAATGCCCGAGGACGAGGAGGAGGAGGAGGAGGAGGAGGAGGAGGAGGAGGAGGAGGAGGAGGAGGAGCAGCAGGAGAGGCAGGAGGAGCAGGGAAAGAGGAGAAATAGGAGGAGGAAGAGGAAGAAGGGCGGGAGGAGGGATGACGGAGGAGGAGGAGGAGGAGGAGGAGAGAGAGAGGAGGAGAGGAGAGGAGCGGAAGAGGAGGATGAAAGAGGAGACGAGGAGGAGGAGAGGAGAGGAAGGAGAACGAGGAGGCGGGGAGTGAGAAAGGATTGGGAGGGGGAGAAGGAGGAGGAAGGAGGAACGAGGAGAGGAAGTAGGAGGAGGACGAGGAGGATGAAGAAGGAGGAGGACGAAGGAGGAGAGGAGGAGGAGGAGGAAGACACCCTCGCAGGTGTGTTGGCATCTGGTGGCTTTCGGGGTTGCCGGAGCGGGCTGTGTTTCAGGGCGCAACTCCATCCAGTGGCAGGCGACTTTTCTCTCCCTCCTCCTCTTCCTCCTCCTCATCCTCCGCCTCCTCCTCATCTTCCACCCTCTCCTCCTCCGCCTCCTCCTCCTCCGCCTCCTCCTCCTCCTCCTCCCTCCTCCTCCTCCTCCTCCTCCCCCTCCTCCCCCAACCCCATACTTTTCGACGAAGAGGAGCCGCTCAGAAAAGGAGGGGAACCCTGTGATACACCCCCAGGGGTCTCTTCGGACGCACCTCTATCGAGGATGGACGCCCCCCCATCCTATATCCCAGGGTGGGGCTTCAAATTCTTGGTCCATTCTTGAATTGCAGGAAGCCTGGGATGGGGGTCGACATATCCCCTGTTGCCCAAGGACGGGGGTCAATGCAAACGGGGGGGGGATGGAGAAGAGGGGCCGAAAGAAGCCCCTTGCGGCTGCGTTGCGGGCCCTGGTGGCTCCAAAACCAGGCCTGCAAGGGTCCATTTAGGATCATTCGGGCCCCTTCGCTTCACCCAGCATGTAGGCCACCCCCCCAATGCCACCCGCCCGATTCAGGGTGTCTTTCTCGCCGTGGGGGAAGCGGGTGCTCAGGGAAGCGGGGGCTGCCGGAGAACGACTCAGGATGAGGATCTCGTCCTGGGGGAAGGCCCTGGGGTCCGGGACCCGTGTCCTCAGGTCGCGTTTCCCCCGTGTTGATTCCCAAGTGATCTCTCGCTCATGCCATTCTTCCAGAGTTGATCGGGGGGGGCAATTTGTACAAACGCACGTGCACGGTGGGGGCTCCCAAAAGTTGTTCGAGCAGAAGCCCTGGGTCGGGGACAACTACGGCGCACATCCCTGCAGCTTCGGCGGCGACGACTGCAGCCAGACGAGGTGCTGCGGCACGCAGACGTGCGACTGGAGCTTCACCTCGTGCGAGTACTTCCAGTGCGTCAGGCAGGGCCGCCCATGATTCGATTCGATGCGACCGCGATTCCGATTCGGTTCGATTCATGGCCAGGCTGAGCCAGGCGCGGCGATCCGATTGCGATTCGACTCTGGACGATGCGCTGGCGATCCCGTCCGTTCCGGATCCGATCCGCTTTCGCGACTCGATGCGGTTCTGCCCCGTCAGGAAGGACGAGTACTATGCCGGCTGCACAGACGCCCCGGAGGCCGGCTGGGACGGCGAGGTCCTCGGAGGAGGGCCCAACGAGGACGACCTCCCCCGCGCAGAGGATCGGGGGCGCTCCAACTGTGCACCCTCCTGCCGATGCAGGCCAGGCCCCGCCCCGGGCCCAGAACGGGCTCGGCCAGGACCAGGGGCAGGTGTACCTCGTTTTAGTTTCAAGTCGGGCACGTCCCTCGACAGGAGGAGTATCCACAAGTAGCCGAAGAGTAGTCGGGCGACGAGTTTCTTTGTGTGCGAAACTTTGGGAATACGTTTCGACTATTGTCACCGTTCTCCCAAAATCCGCCTGTAGGAGGACGTGCCCGGCCTAACTCTGGTTGGCGCCCTGTGGAGGAGGGCAAACTGGTCCATCCGGGATCGCTCTTCTGCTTCACGGTCGTGATGCCGGGAGAGCGCTCGTCTGCCGGTGTGTCCGAGAGCGAGTCCGCCCTGGTAGAGACCGCCCGGGAGACCAAGTCGGGCATCTACTCCTGCGACGACCAGATGGTGGTGGATGGGTGGGAGGACGGGAGCTGCAAGTACCCCTCTCTCTCCCCCTCTCCCCCATGCCTGGGGTCCCCAAACGGGGTGGTGACCACACCGTGGGGTGAGTCGGCGGGGATCCGGGGTCACCGCACGGTTTTGGGCCTCGGGGCCTCGGGCGACTGGGGCATCCGAGGTTGACGGTCAGACCGTGCGTTGACGGCAGTTTGGCCTGGGGCCAAAACCGTGCGTTGACGGACCGTGCGGTGAGGCGCTGGGGGATCTCGCGAGGTCACCGCACGGTCTGGCACCGCACCGCCTCGAGTTTCCAGCTTCCCTTCCCTCCTCGCGCAGCCCGGAGTGTGCTTCACTACACCAGAAACCCGAGGCGGGAATTTACCTCGGAGGTGGACAGACCTCCTACCCTGACACGTCGATTCGAGAATCGGCCGTTTTCGGTGCGCGAGAGGGCGTCGCGGCCGTCACTTTTGCGGGTCCAGGTCCGTCGATTTCGGCCCCAGGTCGTTTTCGCTAAGGGGAGTGTTAATGGAGGATGACGATTAATAAATGACCGGGGGTCGTGTTCACGCGGCGGCGCCCGGGATGACGATTAGAAAAAACCGACCGCGGGCTGGAAACTTATTTATTTAATCGTTCTCTTCCAGTCAGAAATTTGAGCAGAAAGAGCAGAAACAAATATTTGTTCAATCGTTCTCTCCCATTTTTTATTAATCGTCATCCCGCATTACCGAAGGGAGGTTTGTCCACCGCCGATGATCTATAGCCACCGCCTGGGGGATCGCCCCTCGCAGACCTCCACAGGCGGTGGCCATGGACAGATTCGGGCCCCCCCCTGGGGCTCGAGTGTAGCCACGTCCGCCGCCCGCCGGGGCACCAGGGCGTCAGTTCCCAGGCGGTGGATATGGACAGATCCCCGCCTCGCGGGAAAGGTCGGAGGCGGACAGACCTCCTGCCCTGACGCGTCGAGGAGCGAAGTTGCCGTTTTCGGTGCGCGAGGGGGCGCTGCGGCCGTCGTTTTTGCGGGTCCAGGTCCGTCGGTGTCGGTCCCGGGCCGTTTTCACGAAAGGGCGGTTTTCTAAAGGGGCGTTTGCCCACCGCCGAAGAGGACGGGGGCGGCTCCGAAGCCAACATAGACGTGTTCATCTCGTACTGGAAGAAGGTGCAGAACGACGGCCGATATCTGCTGCACGACTGGCTCATCAAGGCCGACGCCGACTGCGTCTTCGTGGCGGATCGCGTGAAGGCCCGCTTCGAAATATTCAGACCGCCCGCTGGTGCGGCCGTCTATTTCAGGAACACCGAGTTCAAGTTCAATTTCATGGGCGCGTTCGAGATGATGAGCCGGGAGGGTGCCCAGGTGTTCTTCGCTGGAGCTTGGCAGTGCGACGGGAAGATGGACCACAAGGGGGGAGAAGACTACTGGATGAGGTTGTGTTTGGATACCCTTGGCCTTCGCTACATCGCGGACCCGTCTCTACTGTACGACAAGTACGCCGCACAGAACGGGTGTGCCGATGAACGGGCTGCGGCGTTCCATTTCTACAAAACCCCGGAGACATACAGGGAATGCCTGGCCGAGATTAGTCGATGAGATTAGCCAGGCGTGGCAGCTAATATTTAGACTAGCCTTTCTGATCAAGATGTGTTGTTGCCGACCGTGGAAGCCCCACCTTGCTTCGCAAGTGTCGCGGCGTATTTCTTTAGAGTCATTCTTAGGCTTTTCAGCTCGACATCCGTGACGATGCGCGTGGCCACGCAGTCAGGGCCTTCAGTTCAACCTACGAGGTGCGCTTACTCGTACCGCCGTTGTCATGTAACGTGCGGCACCTTTCGAACGGCATGTTCCGGTTTTTTCTCGTCACACTACGTCCAGACATGGTCTCTGGAAGGGTGTGTTTTGTTATTCCTTTTTGCTTGTCCTCCTCCTCCTCCTCCTCATCGGGGGAAGGGTTGGGAGGTTCGGGTGCAGGACGATGAGGAGGAGCAGGGGGTGGGGGAGGGGAGGGGCAGGAGCGTGAATGGAGGAGGGAGGGGGAGGGGGGAGGGGGGGGGGGTTAGGCATTTTGGATCAAGCTGCTGTGGTGCAGGCCTCGCCTCCCCTCTGCTGACGCCGATGCCGAAGTCTGATGGGCGCTCCCGGTGCCTCGAGGCGGCCCGCGCCGCCGCGATGGCTGCGCACTCCGCGGCTGGGCTGGCCACAGCTGCGGGGCTTCGCGAGGCTGCACGCCTCCTCCGCTCCAGCGAGGCCATGGCGAGGGCGGCGGCGGCGGTGCTGGCGTCGAGCACTCCGGGACCCGCAACTTCGCGGCCGGCCGGCCACGCCGATGACGCGGCTGCTGGCGCTGCTCCGGTTCCGGCCACGGCGCGCCGGCGTGGCAAGAAGAAGAAGCAGTTGATGCAAATCGAGGCGGCCGTGGAGTGCAACGATGCAGCGGAGGTGTCAATCGTGGGCGGTGGCCCCGTTGCCTCTTCTGCACCGCTCTCGGCCGACGCGCTGGAGTTCAAGCCCGCCCGCGTGCTGAAGCCCCAGACGTCCCGTGAACGCTCTCCTCGGCGCGGCCCGGTCGTTGCTCCTGCTTCTCCGCCTTCTGCGACCGCCGCTGGTTCTGCTTCCGGTACCGCGCGCGTCGATGTCAACCAGCCTGTCGTCCTTGGAGGTTTGGTCTCGCGGCCAGGCCTCGAGGGCATGCGTGCCACCGTCCTGTCGTTCGACGTGGCGGCGGAGCGCTACGCGGTGCAAGTCGACGCCACCAACGAACGCGTGCGCGTGCGCGGGGCCAACCTGCGCGCGTGCGGCTGACGGTCGCCCTTGGCGTTTGTCGGCATGTGAATTCACGTGTGCAGATGGGCACCCTATCCCGGTAGGTGCTGCGTCCAGATGCTCTCTGCATCACGCTCGGAGGAACAAAAAAACAGGGAGGGGGAGGGGACGGGGGCGGGGGGGGGGGGGGGGGGGGGAGGGAGGGGGTGGGGGAGGAAGATAGAGGGGAGGAAGAGGGGGAGGAGGAGGGGGGCCACGGGGGACGGGAGGAAGGGGGAGGAGGAGTGCGGGGAGGAGGGCGTGGGGTGAGGAGGAGGGGGAGGAGGTAGGAGTAGGTGGCGGAGGAGAGGAGGAGGAGGGAGGAGGAGGAAGGAAGGAGGTAGGAGAGGAGGAGGGGGAGGGGGAGTTGGCGAGTGCCCAGAGTTTGGGCAGGCTCCTGCCTGCCTAGGAATCCAGGGGCCGCGGCGCGCTCCTCTCCTGGCGGGCGGCCAAGGGTGCGGCGAAACCTGCCGCTCTCCGTGTCAATGATCTGCGCGTGCACGCGCTCGTCCGCTCGGCGACTGTAGTGGGGCTCGTTTCGACTCCTCCTGTCGCAGGCGATGTTTCTCCCCCCCCCCCACCCCATCCTCCCCCTCCTCCAGCCTCAATCCATCACGCCCCGCCTCCTCATCTTCCACACCGTTCTCCTCCTCCTCCTCCTCTTCTTCCTCCTCCTCCTCCTCCTCCTCTTCCCCCGCCCCCTCCTCCTCCCCCCACCCCCCGACTCTTCGACGAACAACGAGGCCGCTCAGGCAAGGAGGGGGAGCCTGGCATACATGCCCCCAAGGGGCTCCTCGGACGCACCCCCTTATCGAGGACGGATGCCGTCCCATCGTATATGCCAGGGTTGGGCTCCGAGTTTCTGATCCATTCGAACACCCCACGAAGCTCGGGGTAGGGGTCGACGTACGTACCCCCTATTTTCCTGCTCGGTTCAATTCGATTTCGATGTCTTCCGATCCCGATGTGGTTCGACTTCGGATTCCGATCTATACTCCGATGCCAATGGAGGTTTTGTTCTAGCCTGCCGATGTCCACCGATCTGATTCGCGTCGAGCGCCGATCCGACATCGATTCGATTCTGGGCTCGCTTGCTATCCAGAGTGTGGTTGCGCCGGGGTGTGGTTTGCGATCTGCGTCGTTGGGGGCTCGGTGGGGGCCCCGCGCCGCCCTCCTCGGGGCTCGGCCGCGGGCGCTGTCCAGGTCCTCGCCCGCCCCCCGGGGTGCCCGTTGTCAAACCACACCCTCTGCCAACCGCAGCCTTCGGAGTCGCCGATCCATGGCCGTCTCTCGCCTCCGCCCTGGCCAGGTTCCTGTTCGTTCCCCCCCCCTATGCGAGGGGGACGAGTCAAGGCAACGGCAGTCTTGGCTCTCGGGGGGGTCCCCTCGCCGCTACGGCTCGGCGCAGATCGGGAAGCTGTTGCGCTTGGGACCCCGATGGGGCTTTCTGGGGACCGGCTGTGAGCTTCCATGTGTCTCGGGCGTTGCTGCAAGTGCCCCTGGCCCGAGGCTGTCCGCGTCCTTTGGGAGCGCCCTGGGACCCTCCGGGCCTCGTGGGGGACGCTCTTCAGGAAGACAGATATCGGGTTGGGAGGATGGGGTTGAGAGAAACGAGAATATCATTACCCGTAGGCGGCCGAAGGCATCGTGCATCGCATCCGAATGCTGTTGCTAATGCCCTTAATTATCCCAACCCCTTCCTCCCAACACGGTGATTGTTCTTCCCAGCTCTGGAGGAGGCCTGGGCCCCCGCGAGAATCCTGGGGGGGCACCTTGGGCCAGGGGCACTTCTGGCAGCACCCGCTCGTCTCCAGTCGTCTCTGCGCCGACTCCCTTCGCCCGTCTTCCCCTCCTGCTGCTGCTGCTGCTGCTGCTGCTGCTGCTGCTGCTGCTGCTGCTGCTGCTGCTGCTGCTGCTACTGCCGCTGTTCTTCCCTCTGACGGGGGGGGCGGCGGGGGAGGGGATGGGAGGAGGACGAGGAGGACGGGGAGCAGCGCGGGAATGACGAGGAGGAGGAGGAGGAGGAGGAGGAGGAGGGGAGGAGGAGGAGGGCGGAGGGCGGAGGGCGGAGGGGAGGGGGGGAGGAGGAGGGCGGAGGACCACGAGGAAATCGTGGAGGCGGACGAGGAGGCCAAGGAGGTCGTCCTTCCCGCTTGCCCTCGATCGTCCTCCCGCGGATGGGCGTCCCGTCGCTCCTCCCGCCCTCCCTGCAGTGATCCCCATCCGCCTCGCCCGGGCCTTCGTCGTCCTCTGCGACCTCCTCCTCCTCCTCCTCCTCCTCCTCCTCCACCTCCTCCTCCACCTCCTCCTCCCTCCTCCTCCTCCTTCCCCCTCCCCCTCCTACTCTACTTCCTCTCCCCCCTCCCCCTCCTCCTTGCCCTCCTCCTCCTCCTCCTCCTCCTCCTCCTCCTCCTCCTCCTCCTCCTCCTCCTCCTCCTCATCCTCCCCCTCCGCCTCGTCCTTCTCCGCAGCCGTCTCGCCCTCGTCCTCCTTCCCCGTCCTTCCTCGCCCTCCTCTCGCCTCACGTGCTCTCCTTCCTCGGCTCCCCCCCCGTCTATCCGTGCCATCTGTCTACGTCCTTCCGCACTGCCCCCGGCAAAACCAGAAAAGCATCATGTTTCGTTGTTTCATCTGATTTGCTTGATTCGCCCGTACTCGTCATACCTGTGCAATAGAAGCCGCTGAAACTGGCGATAAGTGGCCTCCGTCTTTGATCACCCCTGAATGCCGCCTCACTCCTCCATAGCATTCGCATTCTCAAGCCATGTGCACGTTCATAGGTTCCGAGTCTGAATTCGATTTGGTATGAGGCCCATACCATCTCATACGGCCCTAGGCTGTGCCCACTTAATTAGTTATGCCTGTCAGCATAGCGTCCTGGCAGACGGCGTAGCGTTCATTGTCAGCGAATCATACTGGCAGGCGCCATATCCGCTGACCCCTTGATGTTTAAAGACCGCGCTTGTTCCGTGCATGGGCTGCTATGGGGACCTGGAAACGGTAAGGGTGCAGACATGGAGCAGGAGAGTAGGACCATAAGCAGGATGACAAATACGAGGTCAAGTCGATGATGAAAGATCAACTGGATGAGATAGGACAGGCACCATGAGTAGGAGGAAGATGAGGAGAGTGGGAAGAAGAGATGGTAAACGAGAGAGAGAGAGAGAGAGGGAGAGAGAGGATAGAGAGAGAGAGATGGAGTGTGTGAGAGAGACCGAGCAATAGAGAGAGAGAGAGAGAGAGAGAAAAAAATAGAGAGATATATAGTGCAACAGAGAGCGAGAGAGGGAGAGAAGGAGAGAAAGAGAGGGGTCGATAAGGAGAGAAAGAGAAGGAGAGAGAGCGAGCGAGCGAGAGAGAGAGAGATGCAGACCAACAGACAGAGAAATCGAGAGAGGGGTGTGTATAATGTGTATAACGCAGAATGTTCAAATTGCAGCGTAGAGGAGGGGGAGAGAAACTCGCACATGAAACACAGAGATAGAGAGAGAGGTATTGATATCGGGTGAGCGAGAGAAAGGTTGTGCAGTGTCTCGATGCTCTGTTGGGGCTCTCCTGCAGTGTTTGAGGGTTGCCTGGAGGACCCGGTGGCGGCCATCTTGGCGATCGCCGGGTGCCGTACGGAGGCCGTCTTTTGGCGCCTCGTGGGCCGCAGGCTCTCTCGGGCCGTCCTGCGGCTTCTTGGAGCGTTCTTGAGCGTTCCTTGGAAGAGTTTGCGCGCTTCTCCTCCACCTCCTCCTCCTCCTCCTCCTCCTCCTCCTCCTCCTCCTCCTCATCATCATCATCATCATCATCATCATCCACTTCCTCCTCCTTCCCCTCCTCCTCCTCCATCCCCTCCCCCTCCTCCTCCTACTCCCTCTCCCCCTCCCCTCCTCCTTGCCCTCCTCCTCGTCGTTCCCCTCCTCGTCTTCCTCCTTCCCCCCCTCCTCCTCCTACTCCCTCATCCCCTCCCCCTCCTCCTTGCCCTCCTCCTTGCCCTCCTCCCCCTCCTCCTCATCCTTTACCTCTTCCTCCTCCTCCTCCTCCTTCTTCTCCTCCTCCTTCTCCCCCACCTTCTCCCGCTCCCCTCCTCCTCCACCTCCTCCTCCTCCTCCTCCTCCACCTCCTCCTCCTCCCTTCGCACTACCCCTCCCGCT